TCCATTCGTAACGTCTCTATAAAAACACAGAGACCATTGTGACGTCATTCACAAACACCTGGTTCTAGTTCCATAACAAATTGGGAGTTTTCTCCCTCGATTCCCAACCTCACCCACTCCACAGCCTCACCTGAGTAGCGATGGGTACCGAATTCGGTACTTTTAAAGGTACCGACCGAATTCCACAGTACCGACCGAGCACCGATTCACGTAATTTGAAACAGTGCCTCGTTTCGGTACCCGTCCTTCATAACGAGAACTTGCCTAGACAGCTGCGCATGCGCAAGAGCGTTATGTCATCGGTCGCTGCGAGCCAGTTGTAAACAGAGCAGCATGGTAGAAAGAACGCAGGCTAAAGCTTGGGTCCACTTCGCTAAATGTGATGGGTAACTGGGTGATGATGAAACCAGCGACAACGATCTAAGTGAGACATCCTCATCTTAATCTGCTCCGGTAGGTAAATAAAATGTAAGATAACGTTAGCTTGATTTGTTAGTGTCGTTCCGCTAATGGTGCGTTCGTAATTTCCTCGGAACTCCGAATTTCCGACTAGAAGAACATGAACGCGCTCTAAAGTTTGGCTTCACTTTACTAAATGCGACGGGTAATTGGGTGAAGATGAAACCAGTGACAACGATCTAAGTGTGAGGCATCATCGTTTTAATCTGCTCCAGCAGTTAAATAAACTGTTTAAGATAACGTTAGCTTGATAAATTAGCTTCCATTGCCACCATTGTTATCATCTAATGGTGCGTTCGCTTTCTCCTCGGAAATTCTAACTTCCCAGTAGGAAAAATCAAATGAAAAAGGACGGCAAAAGGAATGAAGATACACAGTAAATTTAGTTCACAGTAAAGATGTTTGCTTCAGTTTAATTATCAGCTTATAAAACTACAAGGACGATGTTAAAATACAAACAGTTGAATGCTATTTATTGTGATATTTATCAAATATTGTTATATATTGAGAAAAATATATATTTAATTATAAAAGAGAATTAAAATATTAAACATTTAAAAGTATTTAAAATTGGTACCGTTAAGTACCGGTATCGATTCCTAGGTACCGGCAATTAGTACCGAATCGATTCAAATGTCAAAGGTACCCATCCCTACACCAGAGAGTTGACCAGATGATATGTTACTACCAGAGAGGCTTCTGTCCATCAGAGCATTTAACTGCTGAGATCCTCCACCTAATCTCATCCAACTCTGCCCTTTCTTCTCTGATCACACTAATATCCAGCCAGAAGATGATCGCTCCGTCTACGTTTCATATCTGCCTAATAATAGTGTCACCATTGATTAAGTCCTACAGCTAAACTGGAATATTCCTGGGAGTAGAAGATGATAATGAGGTAACAGTCTGACTTTGTGTAAAAGGCTAAAAGAAGCTGGTGGGTAATGAGATCCTGGCGGTGTTACTGACGACAACAATCAATCCTGGTTGGTTGCTCTCTGCAGGAGGAACACCACGTCACAAAGAAGGAGTGGGCTGGAGCAATCAGAAGGACAAAGATGACTCTAAATTAAAATAGGTCCTATACCACAATAAAACCTATTTTATTTTACTCACACCTGTCCCCTCTGCGCTTACATATATGTCTCCTTTTCTACCAATCCCTAAAAATCTGTCCTCCCTCCAGTCCTCTCTGCAGTGTGATTGATGAAGCAGAATTATGGTAATCTGCAGGATTTGACATCTGTCTCGCAGCCAGCCAAATAGATTTAGCTTAGACTGAAGGAGTCGGACATTTTTAAAAGTTCTCATGCAAACAATCTGTTGCAGAGGCGCTGTGACTGGGCAGTCTTATATCCTCTCTCTCTTCCTCATCAACCCCCTGACGGGCTTGTGTCTAACCTGATAAATAATGCAGAAAACACTGGCTAAATGGCTTCTGACAACTTCCTCTCACTCCCATGAAACTGTAAAAAAGAAATTCAGGAATACAACTAATCATTTGACCGGAACATCCTAAAAATGCATAAAAACACAAACATTCAGTTCCCGTTCGCTCAGTTCAGCTAAACTATTGTTCATGTTTTGTTCAGAAGCAGCAAGTGGCCGTCTCAGAAAGCATTTAACAGAACGTACCTGCAAAATAAGAACGTTGTCTGGTGGTCAGGTTAGGTAGGAGTCTGACAGATCAACGACGCATTCCCGACTCGTTCTGCAGCTAAACGTTTAGTTTCTTGGTGTTCCATAAGAAAAACTAACTCTCAGGAAGAGAAATGTGTAGCTCACTAAACATTTTGAGCTACGAGCCGTTTAAATGCAACACCTTGAACCACTGAGGCAGACCCTGAGCTCTGGAGCTGCATTTACAGCTGCTGCTTACTGTCACATAGCATCAGTGCACTTAGACTCAGGAGAAAAGAAAATAAACAAGTTCAGATTCATGGTGAGTCAACCGCTATAATGAATAAAGACTGAAAATGTGTGAGAACTCAGACGAAATTTTCAGTTGAGTTGACTTAACGTTATTATAGTCTGAGTGCAGAAGGCTGGCAGAATTTTTACATTTCTGTCATTTATTCACAAAGTTCACATCTAAATGATGCATTTTCAATATGTTCAGACTTTTCTTTAGGGAAAGTATTATTTTAAACAGACATTTCGTTTGAGTCTAGTAGGAAAATTATCAGTTTATTTGCAGCATTCTGATTAAAGAAATTGAAACTGAATATTAGAGGTCAGGCCCGATAACGTGGCTCTTACACAGCAACAACATTTTTACTTGGTGTTTTTACTGCAGAAAGTTTCCCCCCTGGATACTTCTTTATAAAAAAAAATCTAAATGGAAACTGCTGGAGGTACGTTGATGTCAGCCAAGATGAAAATTTGGGTCAAATTTGTTTTGAGAATGATAGAGCCTCCATTTTATAATTACTGTTGCAACCTTAAATATGCGTTTGTTATTTCATTTGGCAGACCCTTTACACCAGAGCTTCTTATACATTATCCAACCTGTCGGAGAAAACAAGGACCAGTTGAAAGCCCATGCATACACGAGGAGAACATACAAACCTTATGCAAAAAAGGCTTGCATGACAACAAAGCTACCAACTTCACCACCAAATGGTACTACAGGCTACCTAGCAACATTGACTGTTTTAATTTATTGTATTTTAAGGTTAGTAATATATTCTTAAGGTTATAACTTAAAAAAATTATATATATATATATATACACACACATATATATATATATATATATATATATATATATACACACACACACACATATATATATATATATATATATATGTGTGTGTGTGTATATATATATATATATATATATATATACACACACACACATATATATATATATATATATATATATTTATATATCAACAAACAAGTATAATTTCACCAGCCTAGAATCTAGACCATCAGTTAGCTGAAGCTAAAGGATGGTCTAGTGATGCTCCATAGAAACCTCCGCAGCCTTAGAAAGTCTGGCACCAGTCCAATCACAGCACTTTAACCGTAGGGTTGGCAGGATGTTGCATCCTCTTAGACGTGTTATGGCAGACTGCCCAGTTACTGACATCTTTAGCATCCAATCACAGCGCTCTATTGGTTTGGTGGGCCAATCACAGTGCTCCATCAGCCAGGTGGGCGGGGTGTTACTGGGACTTAGCGAAACAAATTTTGCAACGGCTCTGTAGTGGTCTAGTCGCAGTGCTCTATTGGTTTGGTGGACCAATCACAGCACTCACAGCGCTGTTATTGAAAAAACAAAGATGGCGATGGCTTGTTTGAAGCGGCTTTGGCATTACCTTTAGACTATTTAGACTTAGGCTTTTCTTTGAGGCAAGAGCAGAAAGAGATACTTAAAGCTGTTTTCCGGAGTTTTCCTCTTTCAGAAATTATGTATAATTTGTCAGAAATCCGTAAAAGTGATCATCTTATCATGTACTGTGAAATAATATAAGCAATACGTCTTTTTATTTTATTTTATTTTTTTGCTAAGCACGTCCCCAGCCAGGCAGAGCCCCATGCAATAGGAAACTGAGCGCCGACCAGAACTAACCAATAGCGTTAGACTACCGCTCAGACGCTTCACATTTAAAGGGACTTTATGGAGTTTTGAATTTTTATGCTCGCGATTGCCCCCTCAGGCCAAAAGCGTAACGGCAGCTTCAATAGAAGGCTCGTGCACAAGGCGCACATGCTTTACGTGCACACTCCTTAACGAAAATAGCAGCTGAGATAGTCCTGTGTGTGTGTGTGTGTGTGGGGGGTGGGGGGGGGCAGAGGACAGAGGACAGGAGGACACGCAGCTAATTAATTAAATAATTTGGTTCTGTACCTTTCTCTTCAGCACAGCCGACAAAGGTTTATGATGGGTCAGTCTTCCTGCATGCTCAGATCATTCCCTTCCCTTGCTTGAAAAATTGTTCCAAAATGAAAATTGAACCCACATATTTTTTATCTGTGAATTTAATGCTGTTCGGCGAGTCTCAAATAAAAATGTGGGCGTCTTACTGTAAAAAAATATACTATTAATGTAAAAAAGAAACTCTAAATAAGCTATGTTCACATCAAGAATCGAACCTGGGTCTCCCTGCACGAGAGTCCATAGTCTTATTAGATGAGCTAAAGCACCAGTGATATCTTTTGTATCTGTAATATTTATATCCTGGATGACAGCTGAAACAACGTTCAAAGAACGGTTCAGAGCGAAAATGGCTATTTTGTTGCTAATTTGCAGGAAATATCTAGAAGAAAGTAACTAAGGGTCCTCAGAAATGTAGCTAGGTTCATCACTAGGCGTTAGGAACTCTGCTGCTAAAGCTACTGATAGCAAATGCTACGGGCGATTCCTGAGCGTGAACGCGCATGAAGCAGCCTGCTCGACCCAAGCAGCTCTCTTTTTCTGTGATTTTACAGAAAAACAGGCAATCACATTAAAAATGCCAGGGCTCGTTCTACAGGACCAGGGCATTGCAGGAGAATGTATGAAGAAGAAATATATTATTTCTACACGTTTTTTTGGCTGTCAAACTTCCATAATGTCCCTTTAAGGAATACCCTGGCATGACTTATAACGCTACTACCACTCAACCCTGGCATGAAAAGGTTTACATCAGACCCCCTCTGTATGTGGATGGAGATGTGATCTGCATGTTGTGTTGTGACACTTTTGACTCAGTACAAACAAAAAAATCTGGAAAATTAAAAAAGTCAAACCAGAGTTTACGCTCTAATTTAGGCTCATTTTTATTTCTCTTAGGTAAATTTAGCTGAATTAAATTAATCGGTTTACCTGAAAGTGTAATGATTAAAATATTTCGTTACTTAGTTTTTCCAAAACAAAAACTTGCCATTAAACAAATGAGCGGAACTTCTTCCTCAGATATAATAACTTTAGAAAATAGTATTGGCTTCAAACTGCCAAAGCTTCCTCAGAAGCCCTTAATCTATGGACAAACCTGACCTTTAGTCTGTCTAAACAAGTCTTTGTGTAGTCGACTTTTATAAGTGGTTGTAGGAGAGCTGTTCTTACCATGTAGAAGTAGGACAGACAGCAGCCAATTGTCCAGAATACTGAGCCCGTCTTCACAGACTTCACCTGGGGACCGGAACAGAAATAGAAGATTTGCCCATTAGTAATAAAAAACAAAACAAAACACTTTGATGTCAAATAACACAAACAGGCACTTTGTGTTTTAAGGATTCTGAAATTATAAATTAAACAAACCCATGACCTGCAAATCTCAGTTATCTGAGAACCAACCTGGTCAGAGAAGAGTTCAGACAAGGACACTAATCCAGTAAACATGATCTCTACAAACCAGGAGCTGACATTAAAAACTGGTGTTTAAAAAAAAAAAACATCATTTAATCTCTCTCTCACTCTCTCTCCAGAGTGACCTTTAAGGTGATCCAAATCAGAACCAGTGCAGTTTGCCGTGGAGGACTGTCGAGAATCGTGATTGCCTTCAACAAATCCTGATTACTGAGAAAAGAGAATCAATGGAAGCTGGACCACAGTGGTCTCACCTTACCAAACAACCTGACTTAGACGTCTGGATCAATCAGCGGCACGCCATGACATGGCTTTAGGTGAGGGTCAAAATCCATCCCAACACACAAACGAACAGACTGAAACATCCCCACCAATGTGGGGTTTACTTTCATCTGTATAAGGAAAATGTTTCAGACCTTGTATGTCTTTGGCTGACAGGACAGTTAAGCTCAAGTCAAGTAAAAATGTTTTCCATCAGCAGATTAGAAAAGTTTAATTATCACTACAATCTTGTGCCTACAAACATATTATTGATTTCAATGTCATCAGGAGCAAATGTGTCTCTTTTACATACCACACTACAAATAAGCTTAATGATGCCATAATGTCAGTCGTGTTGACTTCAGTAGAGATGAACTTTTTAAGTGCAAAAACCTCTGAGCATTAATTACTTTGAAGCACTTTCTTTTAACCAACTATTTTGATTTCTGGTCCTTTCTTGGTGTAGATGGAGACTGAGAAGTTAGTTCATGAATTTAATGAATGTTGCCATTTATTTTCCATTATTCAAGACATGCAAGTATACAAAAACACATTGCAGTTCCCCGAGTCACTATAAAGACAATGCAATAGGAAGCGGACAGGAAGTACTATAGGAGGATCTTTTGTGACATCAGTGTTAGTTTTTCGAATTGCATCACAGTAGTGTGTGGCAAGAAACAACGCATTTTGCCTATAATTCGGTTGTTTTGCATGTTTGGAGGAGGATTTAGCGAAGCAGATGGATCATTCTTGCTGTGTGGTTGATAGTTCGGCCCGTGGGAGGCTTGATAAAATGTTTTACTGGAAATACCCCCGTAAACAACCGCGAAATACAAAAGATGACAGGAAGCGACCTGGACTCTGAAAAAAGCCTGTATTGCTGCTACAACGGACAGTTTGTGAGGCATGTTTAGTTCATGGCAAGTCCTTGTGACCAAGAATTTAATTAGAGATGATGTTTTAAAAAACATTCATCTTCGTGCATTGTTGAATCCACAAAGTCGTGTTGTTATCCCGTTCCGATTCAGGTGTCTCAATCCGCGATCATTATAATAAAAAATAAAGATATAAATAAGGGCACCGATTAATGAAGACTTATCCAGCTTTGAAGTGAAGATTTATCTGTTTTCTTTGGCCATCACCCACAGGTGAACGCTGTGGCTCTGCTCATCGAAGCCAACTGTTGCCATTAGCATGGCCGCTGCTTTCTGTTCAGAAGAAATCGGCTAAACTTTCCTTAAAACAATAATCGTAGGCCTCCAGATGTTCATCTCAGAGCTCAAACAGGCTTTTAATAACTTAAATTTTCTCTTAAATAGAAATAACTCAAAATACAAATTTGAAGCTTCTATCTAAACCTCTTGTCTTTGTACGTTTAAGTGTTTATATATCCAGGATTTTGTCCATAAACCACATGGGGCATCTGTACTGTTAAACTTCAGCTTACAGATGTCTTGTTTCTATTGATTATGGGTCCTTGTTTAAACCATAGACATGAACATGTATGCACCAATGGGTGCTGAGAGCGTAACAGCATTGCCGCCATATTGGGTGGGTCTACTCAATCTCGACGCAAAGGGAGCAACTATGGCTGTCTTTTGTACAGCCTACAGTTGCAACAACCGGTGCACTATTGAACAGATCATGAGGGCTTACTATAGACTTTTCTAGCCTACATGATGGGGTTTTATATTTTCAATTATGTGATTATATCATCGACATATATACTAGACAATGCATAGGCTCCAATAATATGTTTTTAAGCCAAAATGGTAGGTGGCCACCACCACCATTTTGACCATGTCAATTTACCCGAAGCAGCTCATCTGAATGAGACACTTTTAGTTTCATATATTTGCAACTTAAAAAAAAAAGTTGCGTAAACTACTAAAGGCAAAGTCACTAAAACCTCTCACATACAACGTATATTTTTGTAAGTGCGCAGGCGACCACCACAACAGTGCTAATGGAAAAATCATTCAAATTTGACATTTTCACTCACGCCGAGTCACGCAGCCCCGTGTTTTCCATTTATCGTGGATACATGCTGCGTCTCAGCCTCCTCCTGAACGACCCCCACCCAGTCGCTGCTCTCTTTGTGAAGACACAGAAGTCACCCAGTTTGACACCAGTCCAGCTAATTAAATGTGAGTAGAGAGACAGAGTGGAATTACTGTTACAACAATGCTGCCGGGTTACAAAAACGAAGGGGTGCTGTGAAAATCTGTGTTGTGTGAGTGTTTCTCTTATGTAGACCAGTGGAGCAGCTCTCCTCTGAGTGAGTGGATTCAATTATAGATTATAAGAGGATGTGTGTGTGTTAGAGGGGTAAATACACAGATTAAGAGACTGGAGTTGAATGGGTTATTAGTGGTGAAAATGAAGGACTTGAATAATGAAGATTGGGCAGAGACCTAAGAGTAAAAATCTTTGTGTTTCTATCATTCTAAGAAGGATTTAGACACAGGAGGGGGGTGGGGGTGGGTAATGAGCGATGACACAAGCCGAGAAAATAAGTTTGGGAGAACAAGAAGGAGGAATAAGCAAACATAACAAAGCAAGAGAAAGACAAAGGACGACAAAGACAATTAAAGATAGACAATATAGAAGAAGGATGGAGAGGAGGACAAGAAACCATAAAGACAAATGTGGGTAAATGAGACTGATAATGGGGAGCAGTGGTGCATGGCCAGGATGATTGTTTTTCAGGGCCTTCGCTAAATCGAATGGAAGATGTGAATAGGGGCAGACGAGTGGAGCAAGGGTTTTTCTCTTTGATGGTGCAGCTCCACTCATGACACACCACCTTAAGAGGCGGTGATGGCTGTCGGGATGAACACCTGCCTCACCCGGAGATGTATTGTCCCCACACATAAGATGACAAGAGGTCATTAAGATGATGCAGAAACAACACGTCCCTGATGCAATCTAGTACAGATGCTGAGATGAGAAATGGTTCTGCCACAGGTTTAGAGCCAGTTCAAACAAGGTGAAAGGTGATGTCATCATCTGACACGAAACATCTTCTAATGATTTCACAAAGACAACGTCTTGTTTGGGTTTATTATTTCAGACAGAGGGCATTACATCATAAAGCACTTTCAGAATGAAGCTCACTCCTTTCGAAATTAATTTAACAGAAAAATTTTGCTGAGCTTCCAGTCTCTGTGGCTCGACTAGTATTTGTGGTTTCCCCAAGTCCCCCAAATCTAAAAGCTCAATTTAAACCTCTTGGTGAGGTCTTTGTTTGCTATAGCTGCAGATAAGTTACTGGATTCTGTCCGTCGTTGGGAAGAAACTGGTTACTTGGTCAGCAGGACGAAAGCAAGATGTAAGCTGCTAGGGATGGATAATATATCGGCCTGAATATTGGTATCGGCCGATATGAGTAATTTTTTTAAAATCGATAAATAAAACCATGCCGATAACAACCGATATTTTTTCCATTTCGTCTCCATTTGTTTGTTTCAGAGGGTGAGGGGGGTGATGTGTAATTGTTTAGTCATGTGAACAGTAGATGTGCTGAAAAAAATCGATTCAAGTCTGAATCGGGATTCTTATTCATAAAGATTCAGAATCAATTCACAAAGATTCAGAATCGATTCCAAGAACTCAAATATTTGGCATGTTACAGGTTTGAGATGCACTTTTTTGATCTTTGTTAGGAGAGTCAGTACTCCGTTTACTTTTGTGGTCCCATAAATTGAGATGATTTATGTGTGAATCTGCTGATAAGAGGGCACTTGAATGTAATTTTTTCCATACTCAGAAATTTGAGATATTCTCATATTTTCTAAGTTGATAAATGAGTACTCAGGATTACTCATGTAACTTGTTTCTACACATACTTAAAAAGTATTTGACCGTATTTTACTTTCAAAGCTACTGTTAGGTAACTACAGATTTGTTATATTTTACAAGGCAAGCAAAAATAAATGTTGCCTTTTGGTCAAAAGATTGCATCTGTTTACAGTTTTAGAATCACTTTATTTTACATTGTAAATTTGCATTTTTGGAGCACGGCCAGTTTAAAGTCAAATAAAAATGTCCCATAGCTTTAACTAACTTGTACAACAAAGTAGTTAAACCTGGAGCTGACACTCTTTGTTAATACTGATTGTGAATCGATTTAAATTGAGAATCGAGAATAGATTCTGAATCGAATCGGCACCCCAAGAATCGGAATCGAATCAAATCGTGAGTTGCTGTAAGATTCACATCCCTAGTGAACAGTGAATGAAATCATCTCAGAACCGTAAAATGAGTGTGTTGTGTGTACATAATAACATAAATTCAGCTTTAATAATTTTCATTCTATACAAAATCTACTGATTTTAGAAGCAGTAATGTCAGTATTATCGGTATCAGCAAATATTGTTTATTGGCCATAACAGTAATCTTAATATCAGAATCGGCCCAAAAAATGTCATATCGGTGCACCACTATAAGCTTCATTAAGCTCAGCGTGTTAGAAAACAGGAGACTGCAATGAACATCAATCAGCTTCATATGTTAAAGAGTATTTTACGGTGCATTAGACTGGAGCTCTTATTGTGAAGGGA